GATGATGATGATGATGATGATGACGGTGATGATAATAATGATTATGATGATGATGACGGTGATGATGATGATGATGATGATGGTGATGATGATGATGATGATGACGGTGATGATAATAATGATGATGATGATGATAATAATGATGATGATCATGATGATGATGATGACGGTGATGATGATGATGATGATGATGATGATGACGGTGATGATAATAATGATTATGATGATGATGACGGTGATGATGATGATGATGATGATGATGATGATGATGATGATGATGATAATAATGATGATGACGGTGATGATAATAATGATGATGATGATGATGATGATGACGGTGATGATGATGATGATGATAACAATATTGATGATGGTCATGACAACGATGACGACGATGGTGATGGTGATGATGATGATGATGATGATGACGGTGATGATAATAATGATGATGATGATGATAATAATGATGATGATCATGATGATGATGATGACGGTGATGATGATGATGATGATGATGATGATGATGACGGTGATGATAATAATGATTATGATGATGATGACGGTGATGATGATGATGATGATGATGATGATGATGATGATAACAATATTGATGATGGTGATGACAACGATGACGATGATGGTGATGATGATGACTATAATGATGACGATAATGACGGTGATGATGATGATGATGACAATAATGATGATATGATGACAACGATGATGAAGATGATGATGACGACGCCGACGACAACGATGATGATGATGACTATGATGGTCATGGTCAATTTTATTTATAGAGCGCATTTACAGCAGCAAAGCTACACCAAAGCGCTGTACAAGGTACAACAGATCAACAATAAAAACCTAAAATAAGATGAGCACACAACAGTCACAATCTGTAATAAAAACTGTTAAAAACTATTAAGATGCTCAAGTCAACCTGCATTAAAAGCCAAATAAAAAAAATTGCGTCTTAAGAAGGGATTTAAAATGCTCTAGATTCTGTGTGGTCCTGATGTTGAGAGGTAGCTTGTTCCACAGTTTGGGCCCAACCACAGAGAACGCTCTGCCGCCGCGAGTCTTGTGGCGGGTTTTTGGAACTGTTAAAAGAGCTTGAGAGCTGGACCTCATGGTTCTGGCAGGGATGTAAGCAGACCGCAGCTCAGAGATGTAAACTGGGGCCAGGCCATGAAGAGATTTAAAAACAAAAAGTAAAATTTTGAAATGAATCCTGTTAGAGACAGGAAGCCAATGGAGAGAGGCCAGAACCGGGGTTATGTGATCCCGCTTGCTGGTTCTAGTCAGCAAGCGAGCCGCTGCATTTTGGACCAGCTGAAGTCGGTGTGGGGAGGAATGGTCCAGGCCAGAATACAGGGAGTTGCAGTCGTCCAATCGGCAGGACACGAACAGGTGGATGACATGTTTGAGGACATTAGCAGGAAGGTATGGCTTCACCTTAGCTATCTGCCTTAAATGATAAAAACCTGATTGGACCACTGCACTCACCTGTCTGTGGAGATTAAAAGAACCGTCTAAAAACACACCAAGTTTTTTAACACCGGGTTTTAGAAAACCACAACAAGGACCAAGAGGACCAACAGCGCCGTTTAAAAGATTAGGACTGCCAAATAGTAAAATTTCTGTTTTTTGATTGTTGAGCTTAAGAAAATTAATGGACATCCATTGTTTGATGCTTTTTAAGCATTCCAGTAATGAGCCAATTGGCCTGGCATCACTAAGTGGCAAATAGAACAGCGAAAAGTAATTTTATACTTCTCAAAAATAGAGCCTAAGGGGAGCATATACAAAGAAAAAAGTGCTGGACCCAAAATGGAGCCCTGAGGCACCCCACATGTCAGAGGTGCTGTTTTCGAGGTAAAAGGCCCCAGATTAACGGAAAATGACCTCTTGTGAAGGTAGGATTTAAACCACTGGAGAACAGCACTTCGGAGAGCAGCGCTTGACTCTAGGCGGGACAACAAGATGCCGTGATCAACGGCGTCAAAAGCAGCCGACAGATCAAGTAAAACCAAAGCTGCTGACTGGCCCGAATCAGCGTTTAAAAGAAGGTCATTAAAAACTCTTAAAAGAGCACTTTCAGTGCTATGACGGGGCTTAAAACCGTACAGAAATCTTTCTGAAATGTTGTTCAGGGACAAGTAGTCCTGAGCTGAGAGTAAATGATGATGATGATCTCTTCCTCAGTCTCGCAGTTCACATTTCTCACCCTGAGGCTGAAGGATAGGCTCCACCCACAGAAACCCAGACACTCCAAGCGAGTCAAAAGCAGTCCATCTTCCACACCTGGAACACCTGATCTGAGTTCTCCTCACAAGCAGGTAAACTCACACGCTGACGCACCTGGACTATGTTTACCGTGTTGTGTTATCACTCACGAGCATGGACGTAATTTTCACTTTAGGAGTGGGGGGGACACGGGGGTCTTTACAGTATGTTCTAATGGGAAACAGGCTTCAACACAAACGATTGTTTTCCGCATGGTCCTAGAGCTCAACCAGTGTCAATTTAATATAGCGTAAAATTGTTTTTGGACGGTAAAACGTGCAGGGGTCAAAACTTGACTTTGGAAAAAGTGGGGGGGACATGTCCCCCCTGTCCCCCCAAAAAATTACGCCCATGCTCACGAGAGATTAACGCGGATTAAACCCGGTTTCTGAGATATCTACAGTCCCTCAGGGCTGCAGGTGACTCAGAACAGAACTGTGTGTGTGTGTGTGTGTGTGTGTGTGTGTGTGTGTGTGTGTGTGTGTGTGTGTGTGTGTGTGTGTGTGTGTGTGTGTGTTTAGTTGGCAGACCACCAGCGGGCTGTTGTCAGCTCTCTGCAGTACTTTAAAGCTCTAGTGGACAGGCTGGGACTGGACAGACCCACAGGGGAGAGACTGGATCTGGACCAGTCCGTCGTGAGTGGCTTGCTGGGTGGGGCATCAGGTGGAATCCTGGAGGCTGTCCAGACTCTGGTTCAGTTGGAGCTGCGTCACACGAGACGGTAGGTTCAACCAGCTGGTCTCTAAACATCAGGAAGTGTTTCTGTCCTCAACGTGTTTGTCTTCTCTGCAGCCAGAGGGTTTCTACCTGTCTCACTCGTCTGTACCAATCTGTGGCACAGCTGATTCGCTGGGCTGATCAGGTGATGCTGCAGGGTGCTTCCCAAAGTGATCAGCAATCCACAGAAAGCGTTACCATGGTGATTAAGGCTGTCCTGGACAGCGCAAAGGTGAGGACAAACATCTGTGGGTGTCCTGATGGAAGACTCGTCCTTTTTGTTCATATATTTAACGGTCTCTGCCTTCTGGGTCAAAGTCACGGTTGGAGTCAGGTCTACTGCAGAATGCCCTCGGTCCAATGCACTAGTTCTGATTTGATTGACTGGGATTGACGGAGGTCTAGCCACGACCTGCTCAGACTTCCTGTTAAATTCTGTTGTTTACGTCTTTTTTTCTTGCTCCTCAGGAACTGGTTCGATTGGTTGCAGAAAGAGAGGACAACTCTGTCACCTTGTCCCCTGTTCTATCACATAGAGAGACATCAGATCAGACATCGGCCCGCAGAAGTCCTTCAGAGAAGGCTCAGGGCGTTAGGACGGAGATAAATGAGGAGCATCATAAAAGAGCCCCGCCCAAACCCCCTATGCCCCTCCCACAAGGATCAAAGTGAGTCCAGAAACTTTTTTAGATTTACTGATTCAGCTGTGTTTCAGCCTGAGACACTCTGGGTCCACATCTGTCTGGACCAGCTGATCGTTGCTTGCCGGGACTTTGAGAACGTGATCAGAAATAGAAACAGAAATGAAACAGGAAGTAAAAACGTCACATCACTCACATGTTTCCCATCTGTGCTAACTGCAGCAGCAGCAGCAGAAGAAGAAGTGTGATTGAGACACAGAAATAGACGAGCAGACAGTTTAAGTGGACCTCAGCTTCTCTTTTATTGTAATTACAGATATTAAAAATCCACGATTTCTGTTTAGTTTATTCATCTCAGGGTGGTTCTCGGAAAAAAAACGGTTCAGTTCAAGTCCAGATCCACAAACTCAGACTCGAGTCCACCAATTGTTCCAGCATGTTCTCCGTTTAATTCTCAGAGACGCCAGCGTCTCATTCAGCTACCAGACAACCAAACCGTCGATTTGTCCAAGTTTAGCTCGGGCACACTGCCGTGGTGAAAGGAGAACTCCAAATCATGTTGATGCAAACTCCTGATGAGGCAAGAAAGTGTCAGAAACTCAAACGGCTGATCTGTTTTCTGAACAGAAGGACTAATTTACCGTCTCCTGAGAGCTGGTGGCGTTTGAGCCTCAGGGAAATGACGCAAGGAGAGGGTGGTGGGCACAGTGGCGGATTTAGCTATTTGGGGGCCCAGGGCGAACACAGACATGGGCCCCCTTACACTAAATTTTCGCCAGTCTTATCTTTAACTGGTTTTGCAAAACTCTCCCCTCTTCTGACACGAGTTATTTTCACTTTTTATTAGTCCTCCTCTTTTTTCCTGTCTTTCTCTCCCTTTGAGTGCTCCTGTGCCTTTGCCTTTTTTTTCTTCTATTTTCCATTTTGGTCCATGTTTCCTCCCTTTAAACATTTTCCATTGTCTTTCCTTTTCTGCTTCCTTTTGATGTTTATATAGAAAAACGACGTCACTTTCGGAAGTGAAGATAAAAGCTTTTTTAAAGTGAGCTGCTTCTTTCTTTTATTGGAGCCACGAGGAAAACGCCGTCTCATGCTTCATGTCTTCACTACCGCTTCGAGTTTGTTACGAACGCTCCCTCCTCTCTTCTTCTTCTTCTGCTTTTCCTTCTTCTTATTTGTGGTCTTATGGCACTTGGCAAACAACGATTTGGTGCATTACTGCCACCAACTGGATTGGAGTGGAATGACCACCAATCACTTCCTGTTTGTGCATCGGCGTCTTAAAGGAACAGTCCATTGTGGCATTAACGGAGGGGTGCCAGCAGTCAGGGCTAGGGGGCCTCCCAACATAAGGGGGGCCCAGGCGGCTGCCGATCTCCAGGGGTGGACTGGCCTATCTGGTATTCTGGCACTGTCCCGGTGGGCCTCCTAGCCAAGTGGGCTGCTTGCCCAGCTTGGGCCGACACAAGCCCCAACCCCGCTTTCACATTCACCGGGACAGACGAGTCTGCGATCAACTGCAACAATCCCCCCCCCCCCTGCTCTGAGGGTCAACGGTCCGTAAAAATGCCAGGGCCGATTTTTGGTCCCAGTCCACCCCTGCCTATGCCTAATGGTAATAACGCCACTGGGTGGTCAGATAGCACAAGGAATGAAAGCGCTACTTCCACTTGTGCTGCACAACCCTGGTGAACTTCCTGTCACTCATATTCATTCATGAACACCTTGAACACTTGGCACTAAACACTTTGTTGTAATGATGCTTGCTGGTTATAAATTAGATTGTTAAGAAGTGATTAGTCACCTGACTACCAGGTAATTATCAACGCAGCAATGCACACACACCTTTAGAATTTGGTGCTTCCTGCCGGTGATTGGCACCAACACTGCTCCTGATTGGCAGTTGTAGGACAGCTTGGGGCCATCTGTCTCAAACTCCAGTCCTGGAGGGCCACTGTCCTGCAAGTTTCATCTATTTCTCTGCTCCAACGCACCTGATTTGCATCAGTGGGATTCTGTACCTGGAGAGGCTGAACAGGCGATTCAACTGTTGCTTCAGACAACTAAAACATGTAGGAAAGAGAGTGTGATACCCCCTTTGGATGAGCTGATTAATGGTAAACGGGCTGTATTCGATATAGCTCCTTGTGGAGTCCTAGAACTCCCCAAGGTGCTTTACAAATTGTAAATGGCCTGTATTTGTATAGCACCTTCTTAGGGTTCCAAAACCTCTTAAGTTGCATCACAACAACACAAGTTATGAAGCAGCTACAACTGCCCTGGGGCACGCCGACAGAGGCGAGGCTGTCGAGCGCTGGCGCCACCGGTCTCGCCGACCATCACCAGCAGGCAACGTGGTTTACGTGTTTTGCCCGAGGACACAACAGCAGCTTTCTCTGCGGAGAGTCGGGTTTGACCCTACAACCCTCTGATGACTGGACAACTCGCCCTCCCTCCTGGGCTACTGCTGCCCCCTGAGTAGAAGGAGCCATGCTGTTGCGGCTGTCACCCTATGAATAACGAGAGTGGCCTACCACTGGAGAACACTGCCGGGGACAGTTTTAGGGCTCTGCTTGCACAGATGTAACATCGTTAATAGTTCTACCTCGTACCAAAGGCGGCTAATCAAACTTAATCAGATTTATTATCAAAAATTATTGCCACAACAAACAATCGACAAAACACAAATGTGCAACTGTTTTGTTGTCTGGTATTTTATAAAATCAGAAATCCAAAAGGCAGATTGTTGCTACCATTCACATCCCACTGACACCAGTTCTTAAAGGTTGTCTCTGCTGCCTGTCCACGCATGACACACAGGTGATGTCATCGAAAGTCATTGAAAGTCTAACCTGTCTGTCTCCGTTTGGTTAGTCCTCCAGCACTGCCTCCAAAGACACGTCGATCATCGTTGGCTCCTGTCCCCTCCCACTGCAGGGTTGCTATAGTAACACCAATAACACGTGAGCCTGACGAAGACATCCAGATTGAGCAGGTATGTGTTTTCTTTCAGTGTTTGGTTTAAGGCTTACACGCCTAAAACGACTAACTTTGAAAGGTCCCTAATTGTGACATCACAAACAGGGAATTAGCATAGAACCCACAGAACACACCTATAGAACACACACACCTGTCGATAGGTGAGCAGCAGCAGCTCTGTTCAGAGTCCCTCCCAGGATATCTGAGCTCCTCACCTCACAGCAGCCAATCAGTGAAGAGGTGGGCGTATCCAACAACAGTTTGTTTCCTTAAAGAGACAGAGCCCTGAAACAACTCATTCTGGAAGGTACTGAAAATGTCAAGAATAAAACGTGTGAGGTCAGTTTGTGTGAGAAGAAGAACTTTATAGCCCTGCTTCGTATCGACCATAGAACTGTTTGAAAAAGTCAAAAATATTCCCCCTTTGACCTTTAACAAAGTTTATTTATTTATTTGTTCATACACTTTGATTTAATTTTTTTGTATATTAACTCTGAAAGCTGCTAGTTGGGGTAGTCCGTAGATAGGCTGATGGTCCAACAGAAGATCCAGTTGCAGCAGGACGTCTGAGTTTCACGTGGTTCTGGAAGAGTTGTGGTCAGGCTGAGCATGGGACGTTTGTGGTCATTGTGAAACTCTTTCAACAAACCCCAGTCTGTGAACCCTGCTGACACGCCACGCGATGAAGATGACAGCAGATTTTTAGTTTCTCACACGCTCTCTGCTGACAGGAGGGTTTGTGGTTCAAATCCCAACAGTGTGTGTGTTTCTAACAGGATGATGCTTGTTTGAGGCGACTCTCCACTTCTACAGAATCTGCTGCTAACAAAACCTTCTCTGGTAACACAACACACACACACACACACACACACACACACACACACACACGCACGCACGCACGCACACACACGCACGCACGCACGCACGCACACACACACACACACACGCACGCACGCACACACACACACACACGCACACACACACACACACACACACACACACACACACACATTTCCTGTCAGCAGCAGGAGGGGGAGAGTAACATTACTTCCTGTTTGTAGTGACAAGTCATTCAATGCTGCCACCAGCTGGACAAACACACACATACTCACACACACGTGTACACACACACACACACACACACACACATGTACCCACACACACACACACACACACACACACACACACACACACACACACACACACACATGTACCCACACACACACACACACACACACACACACACACACACACACACACACACACACACACATACTCACACACACACACACACACATGTACCCACACACACACACACACACACACACACACACACACACATGTACCCACACACACACACACACACACACACACACACACACACACACACACACACATGTACCCACCTAGGACCACCACCATCAGCCTCTCCAGAGAGCGTGAATGACTCTCAGCCGGTCGTCTTCACTTTCACCTTAATAGTCAGGAAATGCTTGGAAAGGCTGGTCCCGGCCCACATTGAGCACTCCATCTACTTCACCGTAGACCCGCATCAGTACGCCTTTCACCAAAGTAGGTCAGCTGGTGACACCATCACAGACGTAGCCCACACCGGCCTCAGCCACCAGGAGAACAAGAATTCCTCCATCTGCTTGCTTCTTGTAGACTTCAGCGCCGTAATACCATAGACCCTGGTGAACGGTGTCAGCTAAATCCTCCTTTTGCAACTGGTTCCTGAACATCATAACGTTTGTGAGGATCCCTGGCTTCATCCTTCACCCCCGTCACCATCAGCACCGACTCCCTGCTCCCTTCAGGGCTGCATGCTGAACCCCATCCCTACATCCTGCATCAGCACCAGCAGTATGTCTGGCTACACGGGTCGGGTGGTCTTTAAAGACGCATGTTTAGGAAGAACTGACGTAAGATCATTAGTTGTGTCTTTTGTCTCACAGACGTTGTCCTCTGGACACCTGTAAGAGTTTTATTGTAACCTGAAACGTTCTTGTCGGGCCCTCAGACCACCACACAGATCAGGTCTTCACTCAGACAGTCCTTCTACATGCTGGACCAGATCTCTGGTTCTGTTGGGGGACTGAGTCCATCTAAACCAGATCTTGACTCTGTTTGTTCTCAGAGGACGATCCAGACTACGATTTCCTCCACACAGACATGTCCTCCTCTGAGACATTCCTGCTTCTGCCCCCCACCCTGCCAGAGAAAAGATGTCGTAATACCACCGGTGAGGACATAGCCGACCCACTTGCATGTCTTGTCTCTCGTTCCATCTGTCCATTTGTCCTTATGTTGTCTTTTAAACCAGGTCCAAGCGGCTCCCAGAAATCGTCCTCCTTTGAATTTGACTCCACCCATTTGGACACAAACCCTGTCCACAGTAAGGATGTGTCTGATGGTTCTGTGTCCTCGCCGTTGTCCCCCAGCAAGACACCCCCTCCCTTACCTGAGAAGAAACGACCCAGTGAGCAGAAACACAACAGCTGATTGGACAACAGTAAAACAGTCGGATTTTACAGCGTTTAATTTTGTCCCTCTGCCTGTCCCGTTGTCCCTGTCTCTTCTCTCTGTCCCTCTGCCTGTCTCTGCCTCTGTCTCCAGTCCACCAGTACCTTCAGTTTTGTTCATCCTATGATGATCAGTCCATTCTCTTGTTCTATAAGAATAACAGAGAACAGCAGGATTTGGACCACACCCACCAGCTCCTGAACTCCGCCCCCTCTCATGAGCAGCTTCCTGCTCCTACTCTACCACCAAAGAAGAAACTCCAGGTGAACTGACTTATTTTTCGGTGAATCTGAGCCTCTGATGTCAGCTTTTATCCATCAAGCTCCCAAAAGATTCACAAAACAATCCAGCCAATGGCCTGCCTGTAGATTTAGCTCACCTGTTGGTTATCACAGATCCTTCTTTTTTTATTGTTTTGTTGTCCTCAGGATACAGCTGATACACACACTGAGGATGGAGTAAGCAAGTGAGACACCACGCCTGTACACAGACATGTTCATACCTGAACACACACACCTTAAAGGGACTTTACGGAGTTTTGAATTTTTATGCTCGTGATCGCCCCCTCAGGCCAAAAGCGTAACGGCAGCTTCAATAGTAGGCTCGTGCACGAGGCACGCATGCTGTACGTGCACACTCCTTAACGAAAATAACAGCTGAGACAGTCCTGTGTGTGTGTGTGTGTGTGTGTGTGTGTGTGTGTGTGTGTGTGTGTGTGTGTGTGTGTGTGTGTGTGTGTGTGTGTGTGTGTGTGTGTGTGTGTGTGTGTGTGTGTGTGTGTGTGTGTGTGTGTGTGGCCCGGAGGACAGATGACAGGAGAAGGCGCAGCTAATTAATTAAATAATTTGGTTCTGTACCTTTCTCTTCAGCACAGCCGACAAAGGTTCATGATGGGTCAGTCCTCCTGCATGCTCAGATCATTCCCTTCCCTTGCTTGAAAAATTGTTCCAAAATGAAAGTTGAACCCACATCTTTTTTATCTGTGAATTCAATGCCGTTCGGCGAGTCTCAAATAAAAATTTGGGCATCTTACTGTAAAAAAATATACCATTCATGTAAAAAAGAAACTCTAAATAAACTATGTTCACATCCATGATCAAACCCAGGTCTTCTGCACGAGAGTCCGACATCTTACTAGGTGAGCTAAAGCACCAGTAGCATCTTCTGTATCTGTAACGTTTATATCCTTGATGACAGCTGAAACAACGTTCAAAGAACGGTTCGGAGTGAAAATGGCTATTTTGCTGCTAATTAGCAGGAAATATCTAGAAGAAAGTTCTACAGAAAGTAGCTAAGGGTCCTCATAAATGTAGCTAGCTTTGTCACTAGGCGTTAGGAACAGCGACAAAGTGGCACTGCCTCTCTCTCTGCTGCTAAAGCTACGGATAGCAAACGCTACGGGCGATGCCTGAGCGTGAACGCGCATGAAGCAGCCTGCTCGACCCGAGCATCTCTCTTTTTCTGTGATTTTACAGAAAAACAGGCAATCACAGTAAAACTGCCAGGGCTCATTCTACAGGACCAGGGCATTGCAGGAGAATGAATGAAGAAGACATTTATTATTTCTATACATGTTTTGGCTGTCACACTTCCATAATGCCCCTTTAAAACCCTTACACACACTTGTATACACAGCTGTAAACACATGCACACACAGGTGTAGACGTCCTCAGACACCTTCCTGCTCTGCAGCTTGGCGAGTGCCCTACAGGAGGTGGAGCTTGGCCAAAGAGGGAGTGAGGAGGAGGAGGAGGAGGAGGAGGTACTGATGCTGACCGACCAACAAGAGATCCTCCGCAGGATCACTCTGAAGTCTGAGGTATGGCTCTGCCCTCTAACTGGTCTACCTCATGTCATTCTCACCTGTGCTCTGATTCTGACCACTACCTTCTCAGGGGGAGGAGGGGCCAGAGGTGAAGGCTGCATCTAAGGACATCCTGTTGGTCTTTGCTACAGAGTCCAGCAGCAGCAGCGGTTAGTTACATGTTTCTGCACATCCTGTGAGGTCACCTGAGATAACCTGAGATAACGTTCAGATAACTCAATGTCTCCAGGGGCCAAAGAGCTCACGGGAACCTTTTGTTCCAGAGTTTTCTGTGCAGTTACCTGCAGACTTTACTCGGGACACAATCTACCTGAGTTTGTCCCGGGAAACAGCGCGATACCTGCTCACTGTCAACTCTGTGACGCATATTTGTGTTTTAACAGAACTGCACCTGTACCGGGAGGCCTTCCTTTGCACCTACAGGGGCTTCATCAGCCCAAAGGACGTCATCATCAAACTGCAGCGCCGATATCCTCAAGCACTCGGGTATCACCTTCTTGAACACCTGGGGAATTCTGAATGCTCCTGTACTATCTGAATCAGCTTAGTAGTCAGTGCTCCAGCGTCCCGAAGCACAGAAATGTGACTCCGCAGTGCAGCCTGACCAAGGTCACACACACAAAACGTGTAGAACAAAACCAGATGCAGGCAGACCACGAGAGCTGCCATTCGAGGCGCTCATTTCAATTAGATAGAAAAGGGTTACATGAGGATAAGTGGGCGGGAGGCATTTCAGAGCTACTCCCGACAGGAGGTTAGCCTGGCAAGCCAGACTAAATAAATGTATTATTTAGTCTGGCAACGCTCCATTGACGGCTCTCGGTTGTGGGGCGGGTTCTACCGTTGTCTTTCAAATGATCTCCGCATTCCACTGGACAATGAATGTGACATACTCACCGCAACAGCTATCGGTAAATGAGGCGGTCCGCAGCTGAAGAAGGAGAAAACGTAATTTTTTCTTTAAAAAAAGTGCTTAAATACATCTATCTGCTCCTGATTCTAATGGAGCCCAAGTTCTAATAATCCAAAATGGATGTAAAAGCCGTTTCAAACGAGCTGTCGCCATCTTGTTTCACTCTGTTGCATCATCCCACCCACCAGGCATATAGAGTGCCCTGATTGGCCTGCAAATTCAATTCAATTCAAGTTTATTTATATAGCGCCAAATCACGACAAGAGTCGTCTCAAGGCACTTCACATAATAAACATTCCAATTCACAGTTCATTAAGCCAATCAGAAATAATGTTTCCTATATAAGGAACCCAGCAAATTGCATCAAGTCACTGACTAGTGTCAGTGACTATACAGCAATCCTCATACTAAGCAAGCATGCAGCGACAGTGGAGAGGAAAACTCCCTTTTAACAGGAAGAAACCTCCAGAGAATCCTGGCTCAGTATAAGAGCCTCGCAAAGCGGATAAAGCTCTGTGATTTGTTCACTAAGCAGATAGAGCACTATGATTGGCCCACCATTATGGACCAATCACAGCTCTTTATGTGTTTGAAGCCCCTCTAGAGAGTTGTGATTGGCCAGCCAGAATGCTGCAGTGCTGCAGAGGTTCCAGTGGAGCGTTCCAGGACCAAACTTTGCAAAGCAAGAATTTGGTCTAGTTCACTAGGCTAGACAGGAGGTAGCTTTGCTATGCAAAAAACACCTCAAAATGGAAAGGGGGGGGGGTTTATTCCCCCCCAGAGAGAGCCGCCAACTTCAGCTGCGCTCATCCACTGTTGAATCGCAGGTGGGAGGGAGATCGAGGGAGAAAGCCTGAGTCATGTTTCTGCGTCTGCATCAGCGCGGAGACACGCAACGCCATTATCCGTCCTGGCGGGCCTGCTTGAGAGCCCCACAAGGACGGACGGAGTTGAGCTCTCTTTTCTAAACATCCGTCCGTCGAGACGGACAACGCAAGCTTGTGATTGGTCAGGATGCCGCTATCGTCTACACCACCGCCATTGCGCCCTCAAAAACATAAAGAGAGCCGAGGATAACTAGCGGCAGACACGGAGCAGCGTGAAGAATACCTCGCGAAAAACTCTAAAAATATGAACGTTTAATTCCCCCGTGACTGGAGGAGGGAAAAAATACGCAGCAAGCGTTTTATTTGTGGACGGAAATGACAGGAAACGTGGGTTTAGAGGTGGCGAGTGCATGAAGAGGTGGAGGAGGATGAGAGACAAATTTGGCCGTGTTAAAAAGTCTCTTATATACAAAAAACACAATATAAACACACGATCTTGGACCGATACATGACAGGATACCACAGAACAGCGCTACGCCCTCTGGTGTCCTGGTGAGGAATTGCTTTGCAACACTCTCCAGGAGACGAAGTATGAGGGCAAAACGCTTCCGTCAATTTGTGCGTGTCTGTCCCTTGTGGAGCTGACGCAGAAGCATGACTCAGGCTTTAGTCCACCAATCCAAAGACGGGGGAGGGGGTCAGGGGGTGGCCTGGGGTAACACATTCCACTCTTGGAATCTGATTGGCCACCCCACTGAATTTCCTTTAAATAGACTTGTCCACAAAAGCTTGGGGTTAAAAAGGAAAAAGCATAACCATTGGTGCCACCCATGCACAAAGAAGTGCACTACCTGGGCCACCCCATTTTAAAAGATCTGGCCACGCCCCTGGGGTAGGTCCGGTTTTCACAACATCTGTCTGCATTCCTTCGTGGGGGTTTGACTTCTCGCAGCTCAAAGCTAACAGGGCGCCAGATTCAGATAGAAAGATTTGTTTGGGTCAGGCAGAGATAATTTCCTCTCTGCCTTTCAGTCTTTAACTGATCTTTCCAGTCCCTCAGTCAATCCCATTTTGGGTTTAAACTTGCCCGTTTCGTGCACTGACTTTCTCCAAGATCACATCCATCTTGCGTACTAATTACCGGGATCGCAGCTAGAATCTCTAGCTTAAGATTCACCTCGAGTAACGTCCCAGTCTGAGTAGTTTCCACACGGAGACTTTCCATGGATACGGAATGCCCTTCAATCGCTCCCGTCTTCCCAATTTCCCAGAGTACCAGAAATCCAGTAATCACCAGCCCAAAAGTCCACACGTCTTCGATGTCCTCCACGGACAGCTGGGAGAGGCATATAACATTCCACTCCTTCCAGGAATGCAACACATACCCCACCGGGCGCGTCCCCTGTGGACAGGAAGGGCCCCCCCTGCTCCGTTCTCGTTGAAAAAATCTTGTCGATCGTGTCGAATGACCAGTTAATCAAATCCATGATTAACAAAGGTAGAGTTTTGGGAGGAATGCAGAGAAGCACTCTGTAGGCAGACAGGACAAGAGCCTTGGGGAACAAACATAAGGGAGATAAAAGAGACGTGTCTGTACTCTCGGGGTGCCGGTGGAAGTCACTATGTAACAAGAACAAAACGAGATCAGAGCCAGAAGGAAACAGCAGAAACAAGCTCAACCTAGGAAACGTCTTCTCTCCTGAACCTAACCCAAACAAGCAGAATGATTCTGCACCAGAACAGGTGTCTTCATCAAGTCCAAAGTCACTGTGCCATTTTGTTCCGAGTCCTTAACCACCAACACGTACCGGAAACTCAGCGACCGACTAGATCCTGCAGGTCTGACAGGTGCCAAAAACACATTTCAGCTGCTGATCCGAGTGGTGGAAGACCTCAGGTAGGACACACGCACACGCACACGCACACACACACACACACACACACACACACACACACACACACACACACACACACACACACACACACACACACACACACACACACCCAGAGTGGACTGGGACCTGGTCTCTGAGCCTGGTGGAGATCCTGATATGTTCCCTCATGCCGTCTCTGTCTGAATACCTTTGAGCAGTGCAGTAGAGCTGGACCCCGATTTGCTGCTGCTGCTAATGGAGCTAGTATTCTGTCTTCTGGTTGGTGGAGAGCTGGGCCCCGCCCACCAGCTGCACTCTAACATCCTGTCCAAGATGGAAAAGAGGTGGAAACTGATCAGTTCTCCTCAGTCGCTCTGCCCTCTCGCTGCCAAGGGCGTTGCTGCCAGGTACCCAGTCTCACCTGATTGGATAAAGTCACCTGATGCTGCACTGTGATTGGTTCATTCTACACCTTGTTGCTCTCTTCAACCAGACCAGGAACTCTGTTGGACTTCAGGAGTCAGGATTTAGCTGAACAGCTTACTCTGCTGGACTCAGAGCTCTTCCACAAGATCGAGGTGCACACCTGCGTGTCTCTGGTTTGTGTCTCATTGATGAGTCTCACCTGTCTTTGACTCTGAACCTCGTCTGTGCAGCTTCCAGAGGTGCTTCTGTGGTCCAAAGAGCAGAACGAGGAGAGGAGTCCACACCTGACCCGCTTCACCCAGCACTTCAACAGCGTGTCCTTTTGGTAGGAAGGACTCCTGATAATAATTGTTGTCTGTCATCCTCAGCTGCTCATCAAGGTCTGGGTCACAGGAGCAGCAGTCCCAACTAGGAAGCCCAACCTGTCCTCTGGTGGGATCCCAGAGGAGCTGGTGTAGCTCCGTCTTGTGACAATTTCAGCTTTGATCTGCTCATTGATGTCGCTTCCTCCTTCCCTCACTCATAAACCAGAGCCTGATAGACCTAAACTCCTCCCCTTGACCCTGAGATCTCAGTCCATCCATTTCCAGTGAAGAACCATGGCCTCGGATTTGCTGGTGTGGATCCTTATCCTAGCCACTTCAAACTCGTCTGAACCGCCCCAGCAGGAGCTGAATGTGATTGTTGATGAAACTAGGATGACCACAAGATGAGATGAGCCGCTACCAGATTTGACGTCCTCCACCTAGAGAATGTGTCCATAAAGATTGTAAACAGAACCTAACTTAAAGATGAGCAGAATTCAGAGTCAGAAGTGGTTCCTGATACAGTTCTGGTTCTGCTCCCATAACACTCCTGCATGTCATGTTTCCTGTGATGTCCAGGGTCCGTTCAGTGATCATCCTCCAGGACAAAGCTCAGGAAAGAGAGAAGCTGCTGTTGAAGTTCCTTAAAGTCATGAAGGTAATTTTAGTGATGATGAAGTATCTACAGGTTCTCTCCTCGTGTTCGACTCATGCCTGTTTTTGCAGCATCTCAGGAAGCTGAATAACTTCAACTCGTACCTGTCCATCTTATCAGCACTAGACTCCGCCCCCCTGAGACGTCTTGATTGGCAGAGAAACACATTTGAGGTGTTCCTGTGCTTTAGTGTTTCACTGAATTTTCAATGACCCGACACCAGATCGTTAAGAATTATTTTGTTTGTTCACAGACTCTGGAGGAATTCAGCTCACTTATTGACAGCTCATCGTCCTTTAGAGTCTACAGGACGGCCCTGGCTGAGGTGGAGCCTCCCTGTATACCCTACCTGTAGGTTATTACCTCACCCTAAACCATATCTGTAGGTTATTACCTCACCCTAAACCATATCTGTAGGTTATTACCTCACCCTAAACCATATCTGTAGGTTATTACCTCACCCTAAACCATTTCTGTAGGTTATTACCTCACCCTAAACCATACCTGTTGGTTATTACCCCACCCTAAACTACCTGTTGGTTATTACCTCACCCTAAACTCTACCTGTTGGTTATTACCCCACCCTAAACCCAACGTGTAGGTTATTACATCACCCTAAACTACCTGTTGGTTATTACCTCACCCTAAACTCTACCTGTAGGTTATTACATCACCCTAAACCCAACCTGTAGGTTATTACATCACCCTAAACTCTACCTGTAGGTTATTACCCCACCCTAAACTACCTGTAGGTTATTACATCACCCTAAACTCTGTTGGTTATTACCCCACCCTAAACTACCTGTAGGTTATTACATCACCCTAAACTACCTGTAGGTTATTACATCACCCTAAACTCTACCTGTAGGTTATTACCCCACCCTAAACCATACCTGTTGGTTATTACCCCACCCTAAACCCAACCTGTAGGTTATTACCCCACCCTAAACTACCTGTTGGTTATGACATCACCCTAAACTACCTGTTGGTTATTACATCACCCTAAACTTCCTGTTGGTTATTACATCACCCTAAACTCTACCTGTTGGTTATTACCCCACCCTAAACGCTACCTGTTGGTTATTACCCCACCCTAAACCCAACCTGTAGGTTATTACCCCACCCTAAACTACCTGTAGGTTATTACATCACCCTAAACTCTACCTGTAGGTTATTACATCACCCTAAACTACCTGTAGGTTATTACATCACCCTAAACTACCTGTAGGTTATTACATCACCCTAAACTCTACCTGTAGGTTATTACATCACCCTAAACCCAACCTGTAGGTTATTACCCCACCCTAAACTACCTGTAGGTTATTACATCACCCTAAACTCTACCTGTAGGTTATTACGTCACCCTAAACTACCTGTAGGATATTACATCACCCTAAACCCAACCTGTAGGTTATTACCCCACCCTAAACTACCTGTAGGTTATTACATCACCCTAAACTACCTGTAAGTTATTACATCACCCTAAACTCTACCTGTAGGTTATTACCCCACCCTAAACTACCTGTAGGTTATTACATCACCCTAAACTACCTGTAGGTTATTACATCACCCTAAACTCTACCTGTAGGTTATTACATCACCCTAAACTACCTGTAGGTTATTACATCACCCTAAACTCTACCTGTTGGTTATTACCCCAGCCTAAACTCTACCTGTAGGTTATTACCCCACCCTAAACCCAACCTGTAGGTTATTACCCCACCCTAAACTCTACCTGTAGGTTATTACATCACCCTAAACTCTACCTGTAGGTTATTACATCACCCTAAACTCTACCTGTTGGTTATTACCCCACTCTAAACCCAACCTGTAGGTTATTACCCCACCCTAAACTACCTGTTGGTTATTACATCACCCTAAACTCTACCTGTAGGTTATTACATCACCCTAAACTACCTGTAGGTTATTACATCACCCTAAACTCTACCTGTTGGTTATTACCCCACCCTAAACCCAACCTGTAGGTTATTACCCCACCCTAAACTCTACCTGTAGGTTATTACATCACCCTAAACTCTACCTGTAGGTTATTACATCACCCTAAACTCTACCTGTTGGTTATTACATCACCCTAAACTACCTGTAGGTTATTACATCACCCTAAACTACCTGTTGGTTATTACATCACCCTAAACTCTACCTGTAGGTTATTACATCACCCTAAACTACCTGTAGGTTATTACATCACCCTAAACTCTACCTGTTGGTTATTACCCCACCCTAAACCCAACCTGTAGGTTATTACCCCACCCTAAACTCTACCTGTAGGTTATTACATCACCCTAAACTCTACCTGTAGGTTATTACATCACCCTAAACTCTACCTGTTGGTTATTACATCACCCTAAACTACCTGTAGGTTATTACATCACCCTAAACTACCTGTTGGTTATTACATCACCCTAAACTACCTGTAGGTTATTATATCACCCTAAACTACCTGTTGGTTATTACATCACCCTAAACTCTACCTGTAGGTTATTACATCACCCTAAACTCTACCTGTTGGTTATTACCCCACCCTAAACCCAACCTGTAGGTTATTACCCCACCCTAAACTACCTGTAGGTTATTACATCACCCTAAACCCTACCTGTAGGTTATTATCCTGTTACCCTGTGCCCTTCTTCCATTCGCTGTTGTTTGCTTCCAGGGGCTTGATACTTCAAGACTTGACTTTTGTTCATCTGGGGAACCCAGATACTTTAATGACGTCAGAAGGCTCAAATGTTAACTTCTCTAAATCGTGGCAGCAGTTCAACATCCTGGACACTCTGAGGAGCTACCAACAAGTGTGAGTAATTTTTTCTCCGCACCTTCTCCCAACCTAAAAACATCAGACCAAAGGCTGCTGGTAGTCCCACAAACCCATTAGGTGCTGTAGTTTTATGAGGAGATTAAAGATGCCTGTTTTACTGGGTTTTTCCTGTGAGAGGCGCTATAGAAATAGCTTACCCTCTTACTTTATTACTGTTCATAGTTCATAGTTCACTTGCGAATATTTCAGAGTACTGAGAGTGTTTTTCTTACAGCCGGTACTCCCTGCAGCCTGACAGTGACATCATATCCTTCTTCAATGACTTCAGCGATCACCTGTCGGAGGAGGCTCTGTGGGAACTCTCCCTGGGGATCCGCCCAAAGAACCCTCCTCGAGCCAATCAGAGATGAGCAAATCAGTGAGCGGGACAATGATGGAATTAACCAGAACCAAACTGGAACAGACCCTAAATGCTTTACAACTGGTGCTTCTCTGGAACAACTACAGGTCCACAATCGTAGACGAATCCAGAACTATAGACAGGTCCAGAAAATAACAGACCAGCTTTACCAAACACCTCTGCAAGTTTAATGATCTCCTCTGCTCCATCATGCATCAGTTACAGAAACCAAAGGGGTGGTAAAATGTCCTCTCCACACATCTAGGCTGACTGCATGAGTCTGCTCACATAAGTTCAACTGTGTGGACCAAACAGGTGTGGGACACTGGGGTTCTGCTGGCCACCTGTACACAGCCTGTACACACTCTCAGATGAACTCATCAGACACTCACTATGAACCCAGGTTGCGTTTGTCATGGCGACTGCACATGGACGTGTTGGCCTCTGTCGGGTAAATCCAAACCCGTTTTCTGAGAGGCACACGCCCTAACTCGGGCAGGTTTCATGACCGTAGCTGTAGACGATTGTCAGTTCTACTGGAAGTTTCTTTGACCTGTCTGCCCCTGATAATCGCCAAAGAACATGTTTCATCACCATCCCTGCACCCTGTCAGGGCCGGCAGAGCCATCAAAACCAAGACAATAAACACGTTTATTTCTATTTATCTGTAGCGTTGCCTCCTATTCAGCATCCTAATCTGTTTTATAATTTATGGGATGTGAATCTGCCCAGCACGCCCAGCACACTTTTGTTAGTGGTATTGTAATGGTGAGTTTTCCGTGCTCTAGAAGGAGTACCACACCGGGAGTCTGAGCTTTTTCATTGATCACACTTCCCTTTTTATGTTCACGCTGTAGAACATTCTTTAGAATTAGGTTTTTATGGAAATGCCAGGGGCGTGTCCAGGGGGTGGCCCGGGGTAGCACATGCCACCCTTGGAATCTGATTGGCCACCCCACTGAATTTCCTTTAAATTGACTTTTGCACAAAAAGCTTAGGGTAAAAAAGAAAAAGCATAACCACTGGTGCACTACCTGGGCCACCCCATTTTAAAAGATCTAGCCACGCCACTGGGAAACGCTCCAAAAGCTTTTGTTCTTTCATTTGGCGTTGTGTAATACATCCATGTAGGTCAGCTGTTTTAATTCGATTTAGCCCAAAGTTCATCTTCTATGTCAATGTCAGTTTTATTTATAAAGCACATTTCCAACAAGCAGAGACTGCACAAAGTGCTGTACACAGACAAGCAGTAAATAAAATGATAAAACACTGAGAGCCTTCCAGTAGACACTTAAAGTACTTAACTATAAAATCAGTTAAAAGCAAGGGTACAAAGGTGGGTTTTTAAAAGAGACTTAAAAGCAGAAATCTGTAGGGGAAGGCTGTTCCAGAGCTTGGGAGCGGCCACAGAAAAGGCTCTGTCGCCTCTGGACTTCCGCCTAGACTTGGGAACCGATAAAAGATGTAGAGAGGATGATCGGAGGTTTCGTTTGGGGACACGAGTGTTAAAAAGTTCTGACAGATAAGGAGGGGCCAAATTGTGTTGTGCCTTAAAACAGATCAGTAGCATTTTAAATTGAATGTAAGTGATCGGGAGCCAGTGAAGAGCCTGTAAGACCGGTGTTATGTGATCCCTGCGCCTCCTACCTGTCAGCAAGCGGGCTGCCGCATTCTGAGCCACCCTCAAGCGGTGAATTGACGACTGCTCGAGTCCACGATAAAGAGAGTTGCAGTAGTCGAGTCTCGACGTGACTAGCAGGTGTATAACCTTTTCCAAGTCTTTGAGTGGTAAATAGGGCTTGACTTTACTAAGAACACGCTCTGGACCACAGAACTTATCTGTTTTTCAAGTTTAAAATGGCCATCACTGAAAAAACCCAGATTCCTTGCCTGAGACACACAAAAGGTGTCACGATCTGCCCCTTCCCTCTTGACTGTGTCTCTCTCCTGCCCCGATTAGTCCAGATTGTTTTCACCTGTCCCTCGTTAACCTGCCCATGTGTTCCCAATCAGCCTCGTGTATTTATACCACATGTTTTGCTCCTGTTCCTTCGTCAGATCATTGTTGTTTGTTGTCACCGTTGTGTTTGTTCCTGCCGTTCCCGTTCAGTAATTAAATTCGTTTTTACTTTCTCCGTGCCTGCTCTTCTGCCTCCGGAACCCACCACCACACATGGTCCACCATCTCCAGCCACACACCGTGACAAAAGGATTCTAAAGGGCCAAATACACTGTCTACCCCGTGCAACAGCCCACGGTCCCCAAAACAACTATTTGCGTCTTTTTGTCATTTAAAGTGAGAAGGTTCAATTGTAGCCAGTTTTTAACATATTTTAATCAATTCAGTAATTTGTCAAACGATGGCCTTCGAGAATGTAGTGGGACATATGTCTGCACATCGTCCGCAAAGAAGTGATACGAGATGCCATGCTTATGAAAGATTGCACCAAGAGGCAACAGGGAATTGTCCTCCTGCTGAAGGTGGAAATGCACCTGCGCTTTCTCTAGTTTCCGTCGGAGTTCTCTGTCTTCATTTTTTCTCGATCTAGATTAAAAGTGTAGCTTTTGTTTTGTAAATTTCTTCAGTCAGGCTTCTTCTTCTTAGGAAGGATTGGACCCCAAACCCAAACACAGAGACCGGGATCAGCTTACAGAAGTGTGCATCAACAAAAATGGTTCGATGCAAAAGGATAGTCCAAACGCCTTTTTCTTCTTCCCTTTCTTCCTCTCTTCCTTTCAATCAATCAATCATTTATTTTGAAATAATACAGCACAACGCTTAAAAACCAAAATCATACAATCTGGCTTCTGCGCAGCCAAGTATAGTTAACTTAAATCGTGCTACGCAACAAGAAATGTGGAACATTAATGCAGAAGGAAAAAAACTTATTAAACCTCACCTCACTTTATCCAAATCATAATATTTTAACAGTTCTTACTATTTTTCTACTTAAGCTAGGGTGACCATACGTCCTCTTTCCCCCGGACATGTCCACTTTTCACTCTCTGTCCGGGGCATCCGGGGGGGTTTCCTACATGGATCAAAATGTCCGGTTTTTCATCCGGGAGCAGGGATCGAATTATGGAGTCTAGATATCTTTCAGGGAAAGATCCAGTTTCTACCTATATTACAATACTTATGGACTCTCAGCGTAGCGGGGTTCTGGTGAGCGGAGAGGACGCAGAGCGCTGATCGTTGGTGCGCCCGCTGCGTCCGGCACACGATGCATTCTGAAAACATTATTATTTAATATCTGTTTATATCCTGTGGTACTCTGTCTTTTACTCGTTCCTGACGCGCTCAGGTCAGGAGATCCCTTTGATCAGTCAAAAGTAACCGATGTGGTGAAAAAGTCAGAATCCAGGCAGCAGTTTTTTTAAAGAGGAGATGCAGGAAGATGAGAGACAGACAGGAAAATAGTTGAATTAAAACAAGAAAACAAAGTAAAATGTATTTATCTCCACTACACGTTTTTACCTGTATAAAACAATAAGTTATACACATGTCATATTTATACATCTGATACAATTCAGATCACCTTCAACACTCAGTCACACACCCAGGGCCGTTTCAAGGCACTTTGGGTGTCAAGGCAAACCGGAACACCGCCCGACGTGGTTTGTGTGGTGTTGCCATGTGTGACGTCATCAGTAGGCACAGATCTGTCCTCTTTTTTGGAAATGGAAATATGGTCACCCTAACTTAAGTTTTTTCAACAACAATGATTGATAATCACATGTGCATCATGCACCCATGCTTACATACAAGTATAGTTTGTTAACGGGTTTGACATAGGTAAAAACTGTTGTACTACACTTACAAGAGAGAAGAAAATACTTCCCTGCCACATATCTCCGGATAAATCACAGAAGTGATGCTCCCAAAAACTATAGATGTGGAGCGTCACTCAGAGGAGTCTAGTGATAACCAGACTGGGACTGCATGGGTCACTGTAGAAAGTACTCGGGACAAAGGAGAACGTTCTCAGGGTGCTTGGAGCAGCAAGCAGCAGACTGTTGATGAGCACGCTGCTGAATCAGGACCACTGGGCTACAGGTGGCTGATCTGGAGAGGTGAGAAGGGCTGTAATTCATAGATATGTACAGAAACATATGTATATATGTGTTTATATCATCGACGTATATATACGGTATATATACATATCTATGCTGTAATTCATGTGTTCCGCGTTAGAACGGCAGGGGGCAGCGATGCGCCTTACCTGCCATTCAAAAGAAGAAGAGGCTCTGTTTCCATGGTAACCCGAGACCGCACCGGAGCGGAGCGCCGATTGGGCCAACCAGCCGGAGCGGTTACGAACAACAGTCAAGACTTGCCGGTCACCGGGAAGATGATCGGTGTAAAAATTATGGTACTACACTTCCTCGGGTACGGCAGCAGGTGAGCTGTAGCGCCCACTCTCGCGGGAACTCCCGCGAGAACTACAAGCTAACTGGCTAACGCTGACAACCGAACCTTGTTTACGCACAGAACCGGACCGGTTCGGACCAGACCGCTGCTTTTCATCCGTTACGTGAATCTACCAGAGTCGAAATAGAACAATGAAAGTAAAACCATCCAACAGGGTTAGTTTCAGAGATTAGTCTGATCCCAAAAACCCGACATCTGTGATTAACCACAACCCAGACCAGGGGGGACATTCATTCATTCATTCATGAGTTCATTCAGTCCAAACACCACATCTCCAAATATGAAATGTAAACCACTAAAAGCAGGTTTCTAGTAAGACAAACGGACCCAAGTGAATCGGTCTAATTCCCAAACATCTACTTATTAAATTTGACTGCAGCTTAAACTCGGAGATTTATCTGAATTTCTTTGGGGAACACATTTTTTATTTTTGCCTTGGATGCATCTGATGGATCAAGTCCAGCTTTTACATTATTAACCAATCTTAATATTTTCTTAGGAATCCCACGAACAGATTTGGATCCTAAATTAGGATCAGAACTGAAGCTCTAAGTTTTATTCACTGATTTTTATTTTTCAGGAATTGTGAATGAAGTGTGGACGCGGGGAAACATCTGGATGTCTCAGAAGCAGGTTAGGAACAAAAATTACCTGGTAACAGGATTCAGAGTTATGCGTTCAGGGACAGCAGGACTCTGTGTGATGCGTTCAGGGACATCAAAACTCTGTGTGATGCATTCATGGACAGCAGGACTCTGTGCGATGCATTCAGGGACAGCAGAACTCTGTGTGATGCGTTCAGGGACAGCAGAACTCTGTGTGATGCATTCAGGGACAGCAGAACTCTGTGTGATGCGTTCAGGGACAGAAGGACTCTGTGTGATGCCTTCAGGGACAGCAGAACTATGTGTGATGCGTTCAGGGACAGCAGACTCTGTGTGATGCATTCAGGGACAGCAGGACTCTGTGATGCGTTCAGGGACATCAAAACTCTGAGATGCGTTCATGGACAGCAGGACTCTGTGTGATGCATTCAGGGACAGCAGAACTCTGTGTGATGCGTTCAGGGACAGAAGGACTCTGTGTGATGCCTTCAGGGACAGCAGAACTATGTGTGATGCGTTCAGGGACAGCAGACTCTGTGTGATGCATTCAGGGACAGCAGGACTCTGTGATGCGTTCATGGACAGCAGGACTCTGTGTGATGTGTTCAGGGACAGCAGAACTCTGTGTGATGCGTTCAGGGACAGCAGAACTCTGTGTGATGCGTTCAGGGACAGAAGGACTCTGTGTGATGCCTTCAGGGACAGCAGAACTCTCTGTGATGCATTCAGAGACAGCAGACTCTGTGTGATGCATTCAGGGACAGCAGAACTCTGAGTGATGCCTTCAGGGACAGCAGAACTCTATGTGATGCGTTCAGGGACAGTAGGACTCTGTGTGATGCATTCAGGGACAGCAGAACTCTGTGTGATGCATTCAGGGACAGTAGGACTGTTCTTTGGTAAATTTCTTTTTCTGATCCTTTGTGACTGTTCTCACCTGGGCAGGTGTCAGCTATGCTTCATCTGCCCCTGCTGGTAACGGCTCAGGTGGACCTGGTCCTGGTTCTGGTCTCTCTGCTGGCCTTCTGGAGCAGACTGGGCCAGCTGAACTACCCCAGCTCAGTGGTGTGAGTATGACAGGAGCCTTTGAGACCAGAGTCCACTCGTCGTGTGATGTCTTGTCTCTGTGAGCAGGTTTGACGAGGTCTACTATGGACAGTTTGTGTCTCTCTACATGAAGAGAGTCTTTTTCATGGACGACAGTGGACCGCCGCTTGGTCACATGATCCTGGCCCTTGGAGGTTGGTTACCATGGTGATGGTGGTGCTACACTCTGTGTTCAACATCTTGATCCATAAGCTTCGCCTGATCTTCCAGGGTACCTGGGGGGCTTCGATGGGAACTTTGCGTGGGACAGAATCGGAGCAGGTACCAACAGAAACCAGTTTAAACCAGTTCGGAAAGCAGTTTAAATTTGAAAGTCCACACATTGAATTCTCAGCTTTACTGTAATTGTAACTAGTACGTCGGTACTGAAGGTGGAACGTACGGACTGCTGCACATGGAGACGTGGAGGGAGGAAGCGGGCTTCGGAGTCGAGTCTGTTTCCGGTTCAAACCTGATCATGGTCGCATGCAGCAGCACGTTGTGGGCATCCTTTTTTGCAGATGTCCACAACTCAAACTCAAATATATGCAGATTTCAAAAGGACAACTCTTGAGTGATGGCTGCACAGTGGCGCGGTGGTTAGCGCTGAAGCCTTGCAGCAATAAGGTCCCGGGTTTGAATCCCGGCCTTGGGTCTTTCTGAGTTTGCATGTTTTTCCTGTCCATGCGTGGGTTCTCTCTGGGCGCTCTGACTTCCTCCCACCGTGCAGTCATGTGACCATTAGGTTGACTGGCCTCTCCGAGTTGTCCTTAGGAGTGTGTGTGGATGGTTGCTTGTCCTGAGTGTCTCTGTGCTGCCGTCCGACGGACTGTCCAGGGTGTGCCCAGCCCGTTTTCCCGTATGAGTAGGAAGAGTGGGGAGGGCCAGAATCTAAGGTGGATTTTAAAACATGGACATTTTCAAAAATGGTGATTTAGTGTTCGCTCATCGCCACGGTTACTGTGTTTTGGACACACAATACAAGCGCCATCCCATCCGTTTTAAATGGAGTGTGTGCGTTTGTTTCATGCCACAGAGTATCCCAGCGGTGTGAACGTGTGGAGTCTGCGGCTGCTGCCGGCTCTCTGTGGAGCGCTGTGTGTTCCTCTGGGTTACCTGCTCACCCTGCAGCTGGGCTTCTCTCACCTGTCCGCTCTGGGAGCTGCGCTGCTGCTTCTCCTGGGTGAGTGTGTGAAGGGCTAACACGTCACACACAAACAGGACTGTAATGATCTGGTCAGCAGACTTTCAGGGACTTTTTTTTTTATCATTTCAGAAAACTCTCTGATCGTCCAATCACGTTTCATGTTACTGGAGTCAGTTCTCATCTTCTTCATTCTACTGGCTTTCTTCTCATACCTGCGCTTCCACAATGCTCTCAACACGTAAGTTCTGCCCGTGGCCTTTGACCCCTTCCTCTGCTCCCAGCTGCTGCCAGCAGGGGGCGTGACCCTTCCACCTGCCTGGCTCTGGTCTGAAGCTCCTCTTCCTCCTTAGCTCCTGGTCCAGGTACAGCTGGCTCCTCCTCTCCGGCATCTCCTGTGCTGCATCTGTCGGGTGAGAAACGATCGGGACGTTGCGTGAAAACCTTAGCGTGTTTCCTGTAGTCGGCGCTTTTAACGTTTTTAACATGTTGAAGTGGGTTTTAACGAGGTGAAAACATTTACGTGTGATGTGTGCGCCGTCAGGGTGAAGTACATGGGCGTGTTCTCTTACCTGCTGCTGCTGGGTGTGGCCTGCGTACACACCTGGAGCCTGATTGGTGACCGAGCCGCCAGTCACGTGAGTGCTGCGTCACACTGAGCACGCTCAGAACAGAATGACTGAAACAAACAGGGTTCCGTGACCCTGTGGCCGCTGACGGAACACGCTCTGGTTCTGTGTTTTGTTTCTCTGCAGCTGAGTGTGTTTGTTCAGTGTGTGTCCAGAGTTGTGTGTTTGCTGGTAGTTCCGGTTCTGCTCTACGTGTTCTGGTTCTACATTCATCTGAGTCTGCTGAACCGCAGCGGACCGCATGACCAGCTAATGAGCTCCGCCTTCCAAGCAAGCCTGCAGGTAACCACGCCCACTCATAACTTTTCCAAAGCTTTACCGCAGCTCAGCATCTAAGGGCGTCTGTAAAGTGAGAGGAACTTTTCAACAGGCGAGTTTGCGCTGTGTAGCCTCCAGAAATGGTCGGTTTTCATCTGCAGGGTGACGTCTTCAGTATCTGGTCATGTGGAGACGAGTCTTAACTGGTCTTAACTGGTGCCTTCAGTCTGCTCTCTCTCCAGCTTCCTCTTATCTAAGGCCGTCTTACGTCCCCTCCTGAAGGTCTAGGAGGATGAGGGGACTAACACAAGAAAATAGGTGCAGGTGTGTAAGAGTGGATAAAGGATGAGGGGGGGTTTGAGTAAAAACAAAAGGATTTATTAACAAAGGGTGTCCGTGTCTGAACGGCAAAATAAGGTGGAAACTGAAAACATAAGCAGACTAACTGCTTATGATAAAGGCTCTCCGCCTAACTTAACTTAACCACCAAAATGAAAATATCACCGGCTCAGAAGTCCAAATGGGGATAACAATCACCAACACAAGAAAACTGACCCTAGGTCAGTTAAATCCTACTAAAAAGGATAATTAAGCCCAACCCCTATGGAAAACAACCCGTAGCCAGCAACACAAAAGGTTTATCCTTAGCAAGGCGTGTGAAACACGCTCAGAAGGAACCCAGGCTAGTCCTGGATCTCCAGCAGCAACCTTAAACCCGACTGGTAACGGTGTAAACCTTAAACCCGACTGGTAACGGTAGCCAAAGTGTCCGTGAGCTAGGGAGAATCTCCGGCTAATCCAGGATCTCCTCGACGTCTGCTGCGTTCCTCCTTTTAAGCCTGTTGGCCGCTTGATAGCTGATGAAGATCAGCTGCTGTCTCTGCTGGCGTGCCTCTCTCCACGGTCCTGAACTGGTGCTGGGGAGTGAGCAGGCCACTCCTGGCGCTGTCCCTGGTGCTGGATCTTTTGCAGCGGAGACAAAAGGCTCAGGTTGGGATGAGAGGACGGACCGAGGGGGCGAGGGTCGTCACAGGCCGCTTAGCTTCACAGAACAAGAAGGATGAACTTTCATAATTAGATCATAAATACTGATGAAATGGAATGAACAATGTGGTTAAATGAAATGTTTTGATTAATCTGTGCTTAGATTAATAAGGATGAAATGAATATGTGACCCATACATTTAATCAGCGCACTGACTGGACGAGACACACTCACCATATCTCCATGACGCAGGTTAAAGTTAACGTCACATAAACCAGCATCTTCATATCTGAGAGGAGGTGTGTTCTGAGGTTTGTTGGTAAAATCCATTTACATGTCAAATTCTGGTTGAACAAGTAAATCATAATATAGGTTAATAAAACTAAAATCCCTTCCCGGGGTGAGTCGGTTTAGCCTAACTCTGACCGGCCGTCGGAGGAAGCCTCTGCTCCCATCGCATGTTCGACGAGCTGTCAAAAACCTGTTGCACGCTACAGATGACCGCAAACGGCTCCTGCAGAACAAAGCTGAACCAGCTCAGACTCCTTAACTCATTCACTGCCAGCCGTTTCCTGATCGCTAACGGCCTTCGCTGCCAGCGTTTCTCACCGTTTTTACTGTTTTTTTAAGAGTGACAGAACGTTGCGCGCTAGCATGATGTCGATGCCAAAACAACCTAAACAAAGAGGAGGCTCACCTCTTACATCAGGAAGAAGCCGTGTGTTTCGAGCGTTATCCATTCTTTCATAATCCGTTGTTGAATCGTGATCGGCAGACGCTTCTCCGGTTCGCGCCTCACTTTTTTTACAGGAACGGCCCAAAATGATCTCCAAACACATGGATGTGTTGCTTCCTGATTATGTGATCTGTGATGTGTGCGGATGAAGATCGGCTTCAGGGCTGAGATGTTTGTTCTCTCAGCGCGGGGGCTCGTTCCGATGCTCAAACAATAAAAAAATGCAGATGACGACTTTAGTCGTCATTGGCAGTGAATGAGTTAAGAGTCCTGCATAGATATAAATAACGACCTGTCGTGACCTGGAGACATCTCGAGACCGGTCTAGTCGGCACTGCGGTTTCTTCTACGAACTTCGGTACCTTTGGGGGTCCACGGACTTCCACACATTCCACATCTACCACGAGGGTCTTCGAAGGATGCGTAGACTCGACAGATTGCGTCTGATCTGGCTTTATGAACCATCACTATAGTTATAGCAGACCCTCCCACTCAGAACTCAGTTCCTCCAGATACGAGGGTTCTGATGACATCACATTCTGTCCACTTAGATTCATTCATCACATAAAGTGTTTCTAGTTGTCATGTTTTTAATTGTTTAGAAAATAAATGTCTTACTTTTTATAAACCTGACTCTCTGAATTAATACGAAGTGTGTTACGATCCCTGAATAAACAAAGAATCCTAATTCTTCTGGTTAAACATTCAAAGACCAATCAGACTGGATTTCCATATTTATATAGAAATTCACATCTTATTGGTCGAATGTAGTGTAGCATATTGCGCTTAAAAAGCACCTAAAATACATACGTATGCTAACTCTACAGCTGTATTCAGTGGGTTGTCGGTTCGAACCCATGCTCAGCCGCTCACACACGCGATGTGAAGACAAACACACATGCATACTGGCATTGTACAGAAGCCACCGGTACCTGCAACATCCAGCAGCCTGGTCTGAAGGACACAATGACTGAGAAGCACAAGGCGGTTATGCGTGGGGCCCTGAACTCCGCAACTGTGGCCCCGTGCAGTCAGAGGGCCACGATGAGATGAGATGAGATGGTTGTGCCGTTGGAGGACACAGCCGTGTTTCTGGCTGGGTCTGTGCTCCCACTCCACCAGGATGAGTCATCGGAGTTTGCCCTGTTTCCCAGCACAGCCTCAGAAGCATGGAGGCTCCAGGAGACTGCTGATTGATCATCGATTGATTCCTTGCTTGTTTGTTTGTTTGTTTGTTGTAGGGGGGTCTCTCCAGGATCACTCAGGGTCAGCCTCTTGAGGTTTCTTACGGAAGTCAGGTGACTTTAAGAAGCGTCAGCTCCCACCCACTCCCATGTTGGCTTCACTCTCACAAAGCCAACTACCCAATCAGGTGCTGCCAGATCACTCACCCAGCAGCCAATCAGGAGCCTGTGAGGGAGAGTCGGTGTTTGATCGTTTTCAGTTTTTTCTTGTGTTCAGGTATGAAAACGGACGGGGGAGCTCCCACCAGCAGCAGGTCACCTGTTACCCCTTTAAAGATGTCAACAACTGGTGGATCGTCAAACACCCGGGCAGGTAGGTCTTCTGGCGTAGGCGGATCTGCCCTCGGTCCTGTTTTAGTTAGAGCTCCTGTTTAACGGGCGTCTGTCGTTGAGGCAGGCAGGAGCTGGTGGTTGATACCCCTCCGCAACCTGTCCGTCACGGTGATGTCATCCAGCTTGTTCATGGGATGACCTCACGCTTTCTCAACAGGTAAACACCTCACTTGCTGTGATGTCATAGTGCACGATCAGAGGAGGAGCAGGTGCTGTCTGGTGTTTCCAGGTGAAATGCCGTTCCCTCTGAGCGTGTTAGTTCTATTCTATTGTTTTGTGTAACAGTCATGACGTGGCGGCTCCCATGAGTCCTCACGCCCAGGAGGTTTCTGGATACGTGGACTTCAACGTCTCGATGCCGGCTCAGAACCTGTGGAGGGTGGTGAGTCCAGCTAACGCGAGTCGCGTGTAACGCCCACATCCACACTGTCAATGAGGGCGTTGCTCTGGTCAGCTGTGGGGAAGAGGGAGATGAGTTGAAAAGGCAAAGCTCTCAATTTGGGTCTGTGTTCCAATGCTGACCTTTGACCATTAGACAGGATCCCCTCCGAAATGAGCTTCCTCCATAGGGTTCACCCCAAAGGAGGAGGATAGGGGCTTCGTCATCTGAGGGTAACACAGAGTAGAACCAGGGGTTAGCTGACCGGGAGGCCTCCTGGTTACTTCCCTCTGAGAAGACCCAGAGCATTCTAGAGGAACGCCCTTTTTTGGCCATGAAACACCCTGGAAGCCCCCAGAAGAACCTGGGTGATGCTCTTGGACCTGTTTGCCCCACAAGCTGACCTCAGATGAGCATAAGAAAAAGAACGGATGGGTAGCCTACCTGTCTGACTGTCCTACTGGCCGACAGACTGTGTGTCTGTCTGTTCAGGACGTCTCAAACAGAGGAGCGGAGTCCGAGGTCTGGAAGACAATCCTGTCTGACGTTCGATTGGTTCACGTCAACACATCAGCTGTCCTGAAGGTACCTACAGACAGTTCCCTGATCAGAAAAACCATAGAAGAGCACATTTGGTCCATCTAGCTCAGGTGTGTGTGTGTGCGTGTGTGTGTGTGTGTGTGTAGCTGAGTGGCGTGTCCCTTCCAGATTGGGGTTTCCACCAGTTGGAGGTGGTAGCAGAACGACTCAAGCTCGGTTCTGGCTGGACCGTGGAGGAGCACCGATATGGAACCAGTATGACTCAGACCTTCCTCATGTGGTTTCCTGAGAAACGACAGATCAGAACAAACCAATCTGGACCTCCGCTGGTCTTAAAGTTCAGAAGGTCCAACGTTAGATGATTAAAACAAAAACAGAGCACACAACCAGTTCATCTCAAGCAAACCAAAACGTCTCCAGAACAAGAACGACGTGAGAGACTGAACAGAGGATTTCTGATGGACCACCGGGACCGGTTCTGTGCTCTGGTCCACTTTTAGTACCCAGAGTAACAACCAGTCAAGCAGTTCTTGTCTAAGTTCAGATGTGGTTCTGGTGTCGGGTCGGCTCCAGCAGCACTCTAACCTTCCCATAATGCCTCCCTCACCTGCAGGTCAGGAGCAGAAAGAGCGGGAGGCGGAGCTTCATTCTCCCACTCACATTGATGTCAACAGGAAGATCTCCTTCTGGGCCAAGTTCCTGGAACTCCAGGTATGACCTTGAAGGCATCACTACTGCATCGTCCAACCAGACTCACTCTGATAACGTCATGTTGTGATGTCACTGTAGTGGAAGATGCTGACTGTGAAACAAGAAGAGTCCGAGCACAAATACAGCTCCACCCCCTTGGAGTGGGTCACCATGGAAACCAACATAGCTTACTGGCTGCACACTTCTACTAATGTAACACACACACACACACGCATGCACGCACACACACACACATCTGGTTCTGGTCTCTGATTCGCTGTCTGTGCTTCAGGCTCAAATTCATCTGATTGGTAACCCTGTTTCATGGGGAGTGGCCAACTTCAGCCTGCTAGCCTATCAGCTGCTGGCAGCTGTGTACCTGTTGAGGAGAAGGCGGGGCCTCAGAGACCTCCCTGATGGTAGAGATCTTCTTCAGTCCTGGTTCTGATGTCAGGGTGGTTCTGATCTGTGCTGACTGTGTGTGTGTGTGTGTGTGTGCGTGCGTGCGTGTGTGTGTGTGTGTGTGTCCAGGTGTGTGGGAGCGTTTTGTGTTTCTAGGCTGTGTGTGTGTTGGTGGATGGGCGGTGAACTTTGTCCCCTTCCTGCTGATGGACCGAACCCTCTTCCTCTACCACTACCTGCCTGCACTGACCCACCTGTACTTACTGACCCCCGCCCTGCTGGAGCACATACACACTCATCTGTTCAGGTATACACACACAGACACACACACACTAACTACAGTATAGCCTGTAGAACAGTGAGCAATCAGGATGTAGGAGACATCCATACTCTCAGAAACTATTTTCAACATTCAAAACTCTGCTCAACCCTCCGTCTCCACCTCCTACCAACAATCTATCAGCTGACACCTTTGCCTCATTCTTCACTGACAAAGTGGTGCTATAAGCAAACAGTTTACTCTACTGGCCACTCCTGAACATTCACTACCACAAACTCCTTCTAGCCCAACCATCTCAAGCCCTGCTGCTTAATTTTCCTCTTTTTCCCCTCTCACTGAGAACTGTGTGTCCAAGCTTCTCACGTGCAGCCGCCCTACTACATGCCCACTCAACCCCATTCCGACTAAGCTGCTCCAAGCTATTGCTCCTACAGCAGCCGCAGCAGTCACACATGTGATCAACGCTTCACTGACATCCGGTACATTTCCCTTCTCTCTCAAGCATGCTCAGGTTAAACCGCTGCTAAAAAAACATCTCTTCCTCCAAATCATGTGGCGAACTACCGACCTATCTCTCTCCTCCCTATTCTGTCCAGAATCATTGAAAGGGCGGCTTTCAAGCAGATCACAGAGTACCTCTCACAAAACTGTCTGCTTGACCCTTACCAGTCTGGGTTCAAAAAGGGCCACTCCACTGAGACTGCGCTGTTAGCAGTGACGGAATCCTTAAAAGAAGCTGGAGCGACTGCCAAATCCTCAGTGCTTATCCTGCTCGACTTATCGGCTGCATTTGACACTGTCAACCATGGCTTCCTTTTGTCCACACTCTCTAGCATGGTCATCACAGAGAAAGCACATGCCTGGTTTGAATCATAGGGACGATCACAGGACGATCATTCAGTGCATCTTGGCTTGGACAATCCTCTACCGTGCACTATCTTGCCACAGGAGTCCCCCAGGGCTCTGTACTAGGACCTCTTCTCTTTGCCATAAATACCGCCTCACTGGGTGAGATCATTCGATCATATGGCTTCTCCTACCACTGCTATGCAGACGACACCCAGCTCTATCTGTCATTTCCACCGGACGACCACACTGTCTCTGCACGACTATCAAACTGTCTCTCTGACATATGAAAATGGGTGAAATCCCACCATCTCCAACTCAACCTCTCTAAAACTGAACTACTTGTCGTCCCAGCAAAACCATCCATACAGCACAATATCTCAATCCAAAATGACTTCCTATCTCTGGCTCCTTCAAAGGCAGTTCGACATCTGGGTGTTGTGATTGATGAACACCAGACCTTTAAAGATCACGTTGCCTCTGTTGCTCGTTCATGCCACTTTGCACTGTATAACATACGAAAGATCAGACCATACCTAACACAACATGCCACCCAGCTCCTGGAGCAATCTACTGTCATCTCCCGCCTCCATTACTGTAACGCCCTTCTAACTGGTCTTCCAGGCTGTACTGTGAGACCTCTTCAAATGGTCCAGAACGCAGCGGTGCGTCTGGTCTTCAATCAGCCAAAAAGAGCACACGTCACCCCTCTGTTCATTGAGCTCCACTGGCTACCGCTAGCAGCATGCATCAAATTCGAATTGCTAACATTAGCATACAAAGTCCGAGATTGTACGGCTCCCATCTACCTGAATCCTCTTGCAAAGGCTTACGTCTCGGTCCGGCCGCTCCGGTCATCACCACGCTCAGGACAATCCAGACTCTTCTCATGCATCATTCCACAAATGTGGAATGACCTTCCAAGCACTACCAGAACAGGGGCTTCCTTTTCAATTTTCAAGAAACTCCTGAAGACCCTGCTCTTCAGAGAGCATCTTCTAAACTATCCCCCTCCTTGCACCCGTCCCCCCTCTCTACTGTCCACTCCTTGTTCTCTCTCCATGATTGATGTCAAGTTGTTGTTATTTTTGTTGTTAGCCTCAAGGGCAACATGCCGATTATCACTTGTAAGTCGCTTTGGACAAAAGTGTCTGCTAAATACATAAACATGAACATCCACACAGAAACAGACCCATGGGCAGGATGAGAAATGGTCCCGTGGACCTCTCAGACCTTCTAAAGTCCAGACATGTTTCTGAAGTCTTTCCACTTCTCTCTCTCTAAATCAGACAAAACCACCTTCAAATATTTTTATTTCATCCATTTTCAATAGTTTAGCTGCTTCCTGTGGGTGGAGTGGTGCAGGTGGGGGCTTGTCTGGGATTCAAACTAAGTCTGTTTCTCTGCAGCAGTGTAACATGCCAACGAGCACTGTGTGTGTGCACATCAGCTGTTCTGGTTTCTATCTTCCTGTCCTGTCGGACCTTCTGCCCGCTGACCTACGGCATCCCTGAACTGTCAGCCAATCAGCTGCAGGCACTAAAGTGGAGAGACAGCTGGGACATTCTGTACCGCCGCCGCTAAAGACACCAAGTCCCAGAGACAGATTAAGACACTCAAAGACTCACCGAGACCTGGATGGACTCCCTGGGACCCGAAGAGTAACAATGCACCGTCATCTGTGTCAATGATGATGACATTTGGGGAGGAGCTTCAGTCATGTGACCTTTGAAGTCTGATTACAAATTAAATCTCAGGATTTAAATTGTGTATTTTACTGATTTCATCCAGAGAGACTTTCTGTTTGCAGATCAGATCTGATGAGTAAAATAAAACTCGTTTTCTTTTAATTTCATTTATTGTGTTCATTTTGTTTATAAAATACTGGAATGTTTAAGGTCATGCATGCTGGAGGCTTTTCTTGGGTTTTCTCCTCATAACCAGTGGGATTCAGAGCAGCTGGACGAAAAGGGAAGGCAAGATGAGCTGCTGGCTTCATTATAAGTCGCTTTGGACGAAAGCCTCTGCTAAATACATAAGAATAAGGCAGCTTTATTTAGTGCATTTTAGGCATGGAAGCAATTTAATGCACAGAAAACTAGTGTTAGCTGATGGGATGAGTCACCCGAGTCCAATGGCGGCGCCAGGGGGCGCTATAGCTACCCCTGGATTAGTCATTGCACCCCCAAGTAAATATTAGATTTTTTTTACACTTTAATTTTAATTTAACGTGTGGATGTGATAATATTTAACATACAAAACAAAAATAATCAGTAAATTATATAGATAGTAAAAACTTAAACCAAAACAGGAAATTGATGTTAACCTTTGACCTCATTTTCCACCTGTGAACGAGTGAAAGGTAGAGCTAGTGGTAAGATGGATCGGGTTTTGTTGCCCACATTTCCACGGGTTCATTCAGAAACGAATGAATCTTTGGAAGTGATCTCAGACCCACAAAAACCTACGGATCTGGATGAAGAGAGTCAACCCTCAACCGCCGCAGCAGTCGAGGGTTTAGCCCTGGACGTATGTACAGTCTATGGTTTAGCCGCTGGAAATGCTAATGCTAACGTTAGCTAACCTTGCAACACTATAGATGGTTTTCTGTGTGGCTGTGTGTGTTTATGATTTCATGGAAAAGTCAGCGATTGTTCATATGTTTATGATGTATATTAATGATTGTTTCAGGTGTTGTTGAGGTTTTGTGCACGCATGTGTATCTGCTAGTGTTGAAGGTGTTTTAGAGAACAATAGGTACGCTTGACCACTTCCTTCATAGCACCCTCAATAAAAAGACTAGCTCCTTCATAGCACCTGCAGAAAAACATTTCTGGAGCCGTCACTGCCCCAGTCTAATCTGTCTTCACACTCTTAAGCCACACCCCTAATTTCCCACTAAAAAGAGCTAACCTAACATCTACATAGCTAGCCACACACGTTCCTAGCTACCGTGCTACAAGTTCGGGGGATTCTGCGCCCTCTAGTGGTGAAAAGATAGAACTGACGTTCTTTTAAACCATTTACAGAATATTTTACCCGCCTTTATCACAATGAAGCTGGAAAAACTTCTGTTTTTTTTTCCTCTTGTGAATATTAGTATTAAGGAGAAGATGGAGAACAGGGAACTGCACGTATAAAGTAACATTTTTTTCCTGTGACTTATTTTAAAATAAAATTGCTACAGCGTTTTGGAGTTAGCGACGGGGTCTCGCTCTAACGGTACGTTTCTGATTTCATTTGGCTAAAAACACAATTTAAATTATATTTATGTAACAGTGCTAAACACAACAGTTGCTTGCAGTGCCTCTAGCCCTCTAGCGGATGTAAATGGGTACTACAGGCAGCGTTCATAAAGGTAACTGAGGCATAACTCGCTAGCGCGTCCTGTGTGTTACTTCAAAATAAAAAATACAAATACTGCAGATTTTAAATGAGCATTTAAAGTATTGTTAGTCTAAATAATGGAAAAACCAGAATGCATTCATTTATACAAACCACTAAAACTCAGTACATTTATTTTAATTAGCATTCAACAAGATTAAATCTAGGCGCTACAGCAGGAGCTATTAGCTGCTTGCTAAGAGTACTAAAAGCATCGATCAGCCACTGGCGGCCACAGGGAAACTCCAAATCCACAGTGACGATTTTTACTCTTAATAGTCAAAATAAGTTGTGAGTAATATAAAATACATAAATAATTACTAATTACTTGTAATCTGTCATTTGATTTGATTAGTGACCATTTAATCTTTCTATACTGGATTTATATATTATTAGGGTCCCCTCCCTGGGCTGCCACCTTACGTGGTGGAGGGGTTTGAGTGTCCAAATGATCCTAGGAACTAAGTTGTCTGAGGCTTTATGCCTCTGGTAGGGTCACCCATGGCAAACAGGTCCTAGGTGAGAGATGAGACAAAGAGCAGCCCAAGCCCTCTTATGAAGAAAAGAACAGTGTTCCCTCACTAGGACGCGGGTCACCGGGGCCCTCCTTTGGAGCCAAGGCTGGAGGTGGGGCACATTGGCGAGCGCCTGGTGGCTGGGCTTTGACCCATGGAACCCGGCTGGGTACCACGTGAAAAGAAAACATGGGTCCCCCTTCCCGTGGGCTCACCACCTGTGGGAGGGGCCAAAGGGGACAGGTATAGTGCGTGACGGGTGGTAGCTGAGGGCGGGGACCTTGGTGGTCTGACCCTCGGCTACAGAAGCTGGCTCTTGGCATGTCGAATGCCACCTCTTTGGTGGGGAAGTAGCTAAATGCAATATACTATAATTAAAGGGCAACACTGAAGATAAGTTAAATTGAATTGAATTACTACACTTTGAAAAACAAATGAAGGTAAAATAAATGTTTCTAAATCACTCTTATTCACAAAATAGCTCTAGTAACCTTCCAATAGATATTATTTATTTATGTTCGAGTAGTCCAACAAAAATACAGACAGTATTTAACATTCAATGTAACACTAGCAAAATACATTTTCTGGTAAGAGTTGGCCACCTGTTTCTTTAAACTTACTAATTTAAAATACATCATGTGCCATAACTCTGCAGTGAAAATAAATATAAAATTCAAGTCCATGAAAATAATATGTTTTTCCCACATAATGGTAATTCCTTTGACATGTTTTGCTCATAATTAACTAACATTGTGTTTTTTTACTTAAAACTGTAATTACACCCTCCATTTAGCCTATAATGACAGTTTGTAATTAAAAAAACACAATGTATGAATATATATATATATATATATATATATATATATATATATATATATTAGGGCTGTCAGTAGATTAAAAAAATTAACTAATTAATAATTAATCGCACCATTTTCTGTAATTAATTGTGATTGATCACAATTTATCTGATAATTAGCCTGGCTGCTCTTACACTTTTTTCCAACTTTATATTTCTCAATGAAAGAAATGAGTTGTCACAGACTCCATGGAAACTGTCAGATAATCCACAAATAGTGGCTTTCAAATAGTTGTGTTACTTTTTGCAAGTTTAGAAAAGCAGCAGATGAGACAGCATGTCTGATCATTTAGTTTTTCATCTGGTAACCTTAGAATGTAATGTCTGAGGTGTTTTTACAAACACTGTATAACTAATACTCCTGGACAGGGTATGGATTACACAGAGGCTTCTGGGGAACCCAGTTATAAGGGTGGGGGGTGTTCTGTTTTGCCTTGGTCCCCAGAATGCCTTGAAACGGCCGTGGGTGTGTGACTGAGTTTTGAAGGTGATCTGAATTGTGTCAGAGGTATTAATATTACACGTGTATAACTTATTGTTTTATACAGGTAAATCTAGGCTATCCACATTTTACTTTTAACACTTTGTTTTGTTTTCTTGTTTTTATTTAACTAGTTTCCTGTCCTGTCTGTCTCTCATCTTCCTGCATCTCCTCTCAACTCTCCAGAAAAATTGCTGCCTTGGTTCTTACTTTTTCACCTCATCAGTTACTTCTGAGCAGATCAAAGGGATCTCCTGACCGCAAAGCGGAGAGCGCGTTTCGATGCTGCGTGAGTGAGGTGACATCACCGCAGCACAGGTGATGAGCTCCGCAGTAGCAGGCGGCTCGAGCCTTCTGACGGTCTTTATCATGGCTGCCTGCCTTTTGTTTACATTTTCGTCACCAGTCACCGCCAAGACTTTGCGCATGCGTGTGATGTCTCGCTTCTTCAACATTTCAAACCAGCCAATCAGAAGTGACTAATTTTTCTCCCCGGCAGTTTTGAATGTCGAACTTCGATGATGCGGATGCGCGAGCTCGGTGGTTGTCGAGTGTGTTTAACGTGTTCCGATCTCCGGTGATTTTAAAGCAGTTTCCTAACGTTTAGGAGTTTGGAGAAGAGTGAAAGAAGAAAGTGGACTTTATTAAACATGGAGGAGGCTGAATCGGCACCGATACTCTCCAGAAAAGGTTAGCGACCTCGTTAAATTGTCCAACAAAGCTATTGTGTTGGTTAGCTAGCTAGCTAGCTATTGTTGTTACTGGAAGGCGTTTTCCCAGATCCAGGCTTTCTCGTCCGAAGTAAGATGCGCTTCTAAGCTTGGTTTGTGTGATTTTAAGTTTAAAACATCCGGTTTAACTTTAAAGTTATTCGTTTCCCAGAAGTAATGATAAAGATGAACGGACCCAACTAACACCTTAAATAAACGTATTCTCCCTCTAATGTTTTGATCGTAAAACGATGAATATAAAATTAAACCATCATTAAAAGAGTTATTATTGCAGAAAGTCTTAAGTTAGTTTTAAGTTACAGTCACCAATATATTGTTATTAAAATCTACTTTTTTGTATAAATCCATGTTCTGCTGACTGTTCTCTGTAAATGGTCCCACCTGCATTTGAATTCATTAATCAGCTGGTCATAACTAATATTAGGAGAACTGCTGATTAACGCAGAATGTGTTTGGATGCGTAAAACCTGGTATTTGCTGTGGGATTGTGTTTAGAAACTCAGCACTGCAGGTTTTAAGTATCACCTAATGGGGTTCTACAACCCCCCAAGGCACTTTACAACACAACCAGCCATTCACCAACAACACACACATTCACACGCTGCTGGTGATGAGCTACATTGTAGCCACAGCTGCCCTGGGAGGCTGGCGGAGGCGATGTGGAGAAATCCTCACCTGCAGAGGTCGGGGTTGGTTGGTCTTGTTTACATTATTTTAATTCCCTTCAGTAAACTTCATTCAAACTACTTTCATTGTGCGTATAAGTACTTTTGCCCTGATGAAAAGAGATAACAGGCTGAGATAATAATCTACTTTAGTAAAACTAACTTGACAGTTGTGATGAATTCAACAGTGGTGTCTCTATGGCGCGGTGTGGGGGCCAAAATGTAGACTTCTGCCCAGCAGCAGGAGGCTATATAAATTCTGACGCAAACTACCGACCTGATTAATGATAAGCTGGCGCCGGTAACTGAGAGGCTGGCGCTGCTTACTGAGAAATAGCACCTTTACTGGCGTTACTACTAGATACGCTAGGGACTAGCAGCCCTCGGCTGGTCATTGACTGGTTCACACACTCCCCCTCTGCTGTCTGCTAACATGGATTGGCTAGCGTTAGCCTGAACGGGCTGGTGTTAGCATTGGAGAGGCTAGCCATTAGCGTGCCTAGGCTGGCCGCTAGCTGGATTTCCTACCCCCTTGACGGACCATTAGCATGGATAGGCTGGCGTTAGCATGGGAGAGGCTAGCCATTAGCGTGCCTAGGCTGGCCACTAGCTGGATTTCCTACCCCCTTGACGGACCATTAGCATGGATAAGCTGGCGTTAGCATGGGAGAGACTAGCCATTAGCGTGCCTAGGCTGGCCACTAGCTGGATTTCCTACCCCCTTGACGGACCATTAGCATGGATAGGCTGGCGTTAGCATGGGAGAGACTAGCCATTAGCGTGCCTAGGCTGGCCACTAGCTGGATTTCCTACCCCCTTGACGGACCATTAGCATGGATAGGCTGGCGTTAGCATGGGAGAGACTAGCCATTAGCGTGCCTAGGCTGGCCACTAGCTGGATTTCCTACCCCCTTGACGGACCATTAGCATTGATAGGCTGGCGTTAGCATGGGAGAGACTAGCCATTAGCGTGCCTAGGCTGGCCACTAGCTGGATTTCCTACCCCCTTGACGGACCATTAGCATGGATAGGCTGGCGTTAGCATTGGATAGACTAGCCATTAGCGTGCCTAGGCTGGCCACTAGCTGGATTTCCTACCCCCTTGACGGACCATTAGCATGGATAGGCTGGCGTTAGCATTGGAGAGACTAGCCATTAGCGTGCCTAGGCTGGCCACTAGCTGACTAGTGACTCTCCAAGACATGCTAATGGCTAGGCCCTCCGATGCTAATGCCAGCCTATCCACGCTTAAGGTCCGTCAAGGAGGTAGGAAATCCAGCTAGTGGCCAGCCTAGGCACGCTAATGGCTAGCCTCTCCAATGCTAACACCAAACATCTAATTTCATGGTTGAATCTCATGGTCATCATCTCATCCAACTCTGCAAAAGCCTGTTAATCACCTGCTGATTGAAATCCGGTGAGTTAGAGCAGTGAAACAACTAAAACATGCTGGATAGCGCCACTCCAGGACCACGATTGCCTAGCTGTGGTTTACGCAGAAGTGATGATGCTCTTATAGGTGGAGCCTGTTCAGCTTGTTGAAATAATGCAACGTTTTCTGTCGTTAACCACAATCTGAACAATAAAGTTACGACACTAATAGTTGAGTCAAGGCTCAGTCGGCAGGATCCGCTCACGACACGGCGACACACGTCGTTAGCACGACACCTGTACGCAAACCGACTCCAGAGATGTTTCGATCTAATCTAGTCACGTGGCCGTTCGTATTTTTGATCAAAGACAAACTGAAAACATAAAAAACAGACATCTGATCAATGAATAAAAACCAATCAGCTGATTCTGATTTAACACTTTTTTCATCTTTTGCAGCTCTTGTTCAGATTTTACAATTAGAAATTCATTCATGTTCAACTTTCTGTCTCAGAGCTGCGTAAACAGAAACTGATGGAGTACTTGGCGGCCAAAGCCAAGATAAAGCTGCCCACCGTCGGGTAAGAATTCACCCTTTCATACGTGCTGTGTCATCGTTTTTGTTCTAAGGTGATTCGAGTGATGATTTACTCTTCAGGTCACCGGTCCATGAGGGCCGTGGGAGTCAGAGGGCCACAAATTCCTCACTAAAGGTAGGGGTGTGTGCGTGTGTGTGTGTTTGTGTGCGTGTGTGTG